AAAAAGATTTTCTTTCCTTCTACATACCAACCCCTGTTGTTCCCCCTCCCTCCTCTTCTCCCACTCCCCCCATCTATCCCCATCCCACCCCCATCCTCTCCTCATAGAGAGTAAGGCCTCCCTTGGGTAGTCAACACAGGCTGTTATACCATGTTGGGGCTAGACCTAGCCCCTCCCTCCTTCATCAAGGCTGAGTAAGGCATTGCACCGTAAGGAATGGGGTCTAAACAGCCAGTTTGTATACCTGGGGTAAGTCCTGGTCCCATTGCCAGGGGACCCACAAACACATCAAGCCATGAAACATTCACCCACATTCAGAGGGCCTAGTTTGGTCCCATATACACTCCCCAGCTGTCAGTCCAGAGTCCATGAGCTCCCATTAGTTTGGGTCAGCTATTTCTGTAGTTTTTCTCATTATGATTCTGACCCCCCCCCCCTTGTTCTTATAATCCTTTCTCCCTCTTTTCAACTGAACTCCAGGATCTTGGCCAAGTGCTTGGCTGTGGGTCTCTGCATCTGCTTCCATCAGTCACTGGATGTAGGTTCTATGATGGTAATTAGGGTAGACACCAAACTGAGTGCAGAGGAAGGCTAGTTCAAGAACCCTCTCCACCATTGCTAAGAGTCTTAGCGGGGGACAATCTTGTGATTTCCTGGGGTTTTCCCTAGCTGCAGATTTCTCCCCATCCCCTTAATGGTGCTTTCTGTCAAGGTATCTCTTTCCTTGCTCTCCCTCCCCATTGCTCCCCCATGTTCCCCCCTCCCATCCACTCCCCTCTACTCACCCTCTCAGTTTGCCCAGGAGATCTTAACCCTTTCCCCTTCCTGGGGTGATCCAGGTGTGTCCCTCCTAGGGTCCTCCTCTTTACCTAGCTTCTCTGGGGTTGTGGATTGTTGCCTGGCTATCCTCTGCTTTGCTTCCAACATTCACTTATGAGTGAGTACATATCGTGTTTGTCTTTCTGGGTCTGGGTTACCTCACTCAGGATGATTTTTTCTATCTTGTTTAACAAAATGAATACTCCCAGTTCTTGGGTCTGAAGAATATCATCACCTCTGTCTTCAGAACAGCTGTGATGTGTATGTGACAGGGCAGCTTCTGGGTTTGCGGGAGTTCTGGAGTGCCAGGGAGCTTTCTGGGTTTCATTGTCTGTGTTTCAGCTCTGTGGGCACAGAGGCTGTATCACTTCCCCCACATTTAGCACACCTCCCAGGATTCCTGCATTCTTTCCTTTTTCTGTTACAGTAGGCCTTTCTGTGTAACATGGGTTAAACTAGTTCTCCACTTGCTTCCATGAGAGATTCATCAAATGTGATCGTAAGGAAGGGTCCTTCTGCTTGTTAAGTCACTGTGCTCCCTTTACTTTAGAGTGAAGAATCATCCTTTTGGCCTTTTGACTAAGGTCAAGTGTAGAGAGGAGGATGTGTTAATTTGTGAGAGACATGGAGAGTGGGTAATGATAGAGCCTGAATTATATGCATGAATTTTTTACTCACCACCGAGAGTTTCTTGGCCTACATGGCACATGGCTCTGACTTTTTTTTTTTTTTTTTTTTTTTTTTTCGGTTTTTTCGAGACAGGGTTTCTCTGTGTAGCTTTGCGCCTTTCCTGGAACTCGCTTTGGAGACCAGGCTGGCCTCGAACTCACAGAGATCCGCCTGGCTCTGCCTCCCGAGTGCTGGGATTAAAGGCGTGCGCCACCACCGCCCGGCGGCTCTGACTTTTTAAACCTAGGATTATATGCAGTAGTTCTCAACTTTCCTAATGCCCTTTAAAACAGGTCCTCATGTTGTAGTGACCCCCCCCCCACCATAAAATTATTTTCATTGCTACTTCATAACTGTCATTTTGCTACTGTTATGAACCGTAATGTAAATATCTATGTTCTCTGATGGTCTTTCGAGGGTCATGACTCACAAGTTGAGAACCACCGGTATAAGGGCATGTTGTTTAATCCTTTACCTGTTTAACAGAGCAAATGGCAGAGTGGTCATGCTAGGCTATGCTAATACCACAATGCCCTCTCCTAGTCTCTGACATCTTTGAAACCATGTGTCTTAATGTCATTACCTTTTAGAGAGCTCACAGGAAGACTTCTGGTCTACTTTTTGCATCAAGTTTCTCATATAAAAATGTCTCAAAGAAAGGAATTTCTGTATATGCAAGTTTTTCTGTATCATGTGAGGGTGAAGTATACTTCAATTAAAAAAAGTGAGGAGTTGAGGTTTTTGCACAGAGGTGCATGCGTTCATTTATTTCTCATTGTGGCAACAAGATAAACAAGTGAAATTCAACACTGAATGAATTACAAGTAATGGCAAGGTCATGAATCTTGATGGTATTTATCAGGAAAATAAAACCGATAGTTGTCACAGTACAGACATGAAACTACATATGACTTTGGAAAACTTATTGCTTCTGAATATCACGGCATGCACAATAGGCAAAGTGAATTTATCACCCAAGGTACTTTTAATGCGGTAAGAAAGTGAGACATTTAAAGTCCAACACTTTAACAAAACTGGAAATACAAATAACATGGAGTCAGCCTCAGACAGCTGTTCTTCAAAGGTCAAGAGACAAAGCCATCAACAGAGGCAGCGCAAAAAGAGGAGGCTTGTCTAGAAAGAACGGATGCCCCTCAAAATCACACTTCTTCCTCTGACTCGTGTTCACGTTCAGCGTTTTTCAGGAGTCCAACTTCCGAGGTGCACACCTTCTTAAGTCTAGATTTTACTAACCTGAGGGAAAAAGAAAAATCATCTCTGGTTACATGCTATCAAGGGTCAAAACTTTAGAGTAATATGCAGATCATTCCTACAACGAACAGAGGCAATCCCCAAAGTAAAATGATTTCTATTTGACTTGGAGATACCTGAAAATGTGTGCAGACGACAGCAAAGGTCTAAGTAAACCGGAAATATGTGGCTCTCAAATACATTATGAGATCACTTAGTTATGCACAACTGATCATCTTAAAACAAGCAGGAGACTCTACTGACTGTGATAAACGTGACATTGGTGGAACATCTACATCAAACCCACAACTACCTACGGACTGCAAAGAGACGTCATTTCCTGTAAGGAAGTACAGACCAAGTGAAGGCCCATGTCAAGCCTGGGCTGAATGTCTCTTTATGACAAGTTTCTTCAGCCTGTTTACATTCTGATTTTTATTTTCTCTCTTCCCTTTGCCAGTTCAGTTCTGGCCTGTTCTAGTCATACAGTCCATCATTCCCTGTGCTCCGATCCCACACGAAAGCTTCACAAGCACTTCACTGGCTTCATCCCGTCTGCTGGCGCAACCCTGGCCAGAGTCAGAAGTGATTCTAACCCATGACATTGACACATTGGACACACCACTGACATGTGGAGCAATCTGGCAGGTCATGTCACTCAACTGTCAATAGAGGTTACCAGTTCTCCAGTCACTGCCAACTAACATGAACTCTCCAATAAACAGCAATGGAGCAGAATCAATAATTTCTGTTGACGCAACAGCCAAGAAAAAAAAACTGCTCAGTCATTTGCCTTAATTATTGACTACTGATTTTGCTCATACGTTCTGAACACACCAAGCCACTTCTGTTTTGAAAGGCTGATTGATGCTCTGTAACAGGTTAAGGGCCGGTTACAAAAGCCCACACATCTTTTCCACGTAGTACCACATCCATCCATGTAAGACTAAAGGGATTAATCAGTTATGTTCATTTCTGAAGACTCGTGTGGAAAACGAAACAACTCCTGACTGCTTTACCGGGAATGAAATGTTAGCATAGGCCCAGTTACAGCCACTGTTTCCTGGTCTTTCTCTCTGGATTGTAGCTGCTGCTGCTGCTGAAAGCCACGAAGCTCGGCCACATGCACACCTTTATCAGGCTCTAGGCACCTGGAGCCCACATGGAGAAATGGTTCTGTGAGGCAGGGTGAGAGCGGGGATAATGAAAAGGAACTGCAGCCTGGCATGGCGGTGCACACCTTTAAACCACCACTCAGAAGGCAGAGGCACATGGATCTGTGAGTTTGTGGCCAGCCTGGTCTCCAAAGAAAGTTCTAGGCCAGTCAAGACCCCATAGTGAGATCCTGTCTCAAAAACAAAACAAAACCCTCTCAAAATAACACCCCCAATAATAAATAAATAAATACCCAGGCACAATCGCCAGTAACTAGAATGGGGGAAATCTGGGGAATCAAGGTCAGGGTGTGACCTTGCTCTTGCTTCATGTTCTCATAAATCACTGTGAAAAAGAGCAGAGCTGACACAAAAGTTATTTCTAAGAAACTCGATGTGCCCGGTGTGTTAGCAAGCCCTGATTTGTTCTTCCCAATGGTTCACCTGACTCACTGTGTGGAAAACCCATCGGAAAATAGGCAATGCTTCCTTACTCATAGGCAAGGGCTATTGAAATAGTTATTTGCAAGAGGAAGTACACACACACACACACACACACACACATATATATATATATGTGTGTGTGTGTGTGTGTGTGTGTATACATATATATATAACACATTAAATATGCAACAATATTTCCAAACAGATAGGTCTCACCGACAAACTTACACAATCAAGACTTCAGGCAGGGGATAGAATGAGGCAATCTTGAACCACTATTTTGCAAAACTAGGACATTTTGCATCATCTTTCAAGGGTTCCGGGAGGAGAATTCAGTGACTTAGAGGTGCTTGTGTGGCAGCCATTGTGCTATGTGAAACAGCTTGGATACAATGTCTGACATGTAATGACTTGTGGATAAGCAACCACTTCATAGTCAAACCCTGACGAAAGGAGTTTCAAGCCTCCTTAGTCTCAAAGTTAGCACTGAATTCGTTTTTCATGGGATCTCACTGAAAGACAATATTGAATTTTTTTTTTAAATGCTGAATCTTTGTGGTATTTTAAAACTGTTGCTTAAACATGTATCAAAATAGTTCAGGGAAAGTTGAACTCCTGGTCTTATCAATATTAAAGGAAAATCAAGAAACATATAAAATATAATTTCCAAACAAATGAAGGTTGTATTTAAGTACCTTTGAAGTAGAAATCTAGTAAACAGCTAACAAATGTTAACTGAGCACTTACTATATGTCTGGTAATGTACCAATCAGTATGGGGATATGAAAATGATTGTTTTCACGTGCAGATATAGTCTAGCTGTCAGGAAAGACTAATGGGGGCAAGTAGTCAATGTCACAATTTATATGTAACAATATTCAAAGTCAAAATACTACTGAAGCTCAGGAAACAGATCAACATGGGCCAGAGGAATTACAGAAGGTGTCAAAGAAGAGATGGGCATTTAGTGTGACTATACCAGGTAAAGGGAACTGTCTGGTCAAAGAGATTAGAACAACATGTGGTGGGGATTGGGAGAGGTTGGAAAATAAAACTGGAGTTTCTGTTTTCTGGGGACCTGTTAGTGGACAAGCCATGTATTAGGCATCTGAAGGCTTTTGAAACATGAAGAGACAGTAGTCATCTGCTGCTGGCTCTGGAGGGGAGCGGACACGAAGTAGAGTTTTTCCTTGCGTCCTGGTACTGTTCCTGAAGACTCCCCAGCCCCTAAGAAGATGAGGCCCAGATGTCAGCCTGGAACAACAGGGGAAGAGAGCAAGACTCAGTAGCCCAGCCAGCCTTAACAATGAGCAGATGCACATGCTTTGGGGGAGGGAAACGGAACGAACAGAAACAACCCGAAGGAGGAGGAAGAAAGCAGCTACAGAGCGAAGTGAGCTGCTCCAAAGCCAAAGAGGGACGTCTGGGAGCTGGATAAGGCAACAGTTCAAGTTTCTCTTTCAGAGCCCCAGTGTCACAGTGGCTCCAGTGCACAGCTCAGAGGAGGAGGGCTGATCTGGAGCCCACGGCCAGAGGATGCAAAGCTGGTTGCATTAGAAGCTGGCAAACCATGGGGCCCAGAAAGAGCTACTACATCCCGGGGGTCTGGAGAGCCTGCAAGGTGTGCAACACTATCTACATGTTAGTATTCGGATCAACTAAAAGTAATACGGACTGTGTCACATTATAAGCTCTGGGGAGCTGGTGTCCACCATGGCGAACACTACATACACATTACTGCAGTTGTAGAGTATTTCACCTAGTGTAGCCGTCTGAAGAATCAAGTATTGGAGTCTGCATGTCCAGTAATTAGGGTCAGTCCAGCCCAGTGTGCTTCAGCAGTAACCACCCTGGAACCCACAATCAACCACTTTCCTGTTTGCCCATTTTTGAGCTCACATTACCTTTCAATTTGTGAGGCGCTTTCCTTGAGCTCCTTCTTTCTACTACTTTGACTTGCTGTATTTTAATTGTCTACCTCTCTGATCTGCCCTGGTTACAGGACAACAACATCCCCCATGGGAGGGTCTCCACCCCATATTGTTATACCAAATAGAGAGGAAGAGGAAGGCAATACAGACAAGGAGACAAGACCATTTGCTGAGTTTTTACATCTTCAGGAACATAAGTACACGACCTCATTTAGGTTCTACTATCTCTATTTAGTAAACAATAAGATTCATATTTACTGTGGTTGAGTAATGAGTCAGAAGTCATAGCCAATAGGCCATAGAACTAGGAGTATGTGTTCTCAGCAATCTGGTGTGTTGCTCCTCACCTGCTCAGAAAGTTAGATCAGGATTCTTGTATAGAAGAATGCACCATTCAACTTTTGGAAAAATTAGAGTTACTGTCTTATTTAATTTGATTTGTACACATTTGTCAAAGAAAGGTCCCAAGGTTATGAAATGGGACAATTAAAGAGTGTACACAAAGGTAAGCGGAGGTCTCATTGCACATAAGGGAACTGGCCATCCAGAGTAGAAGCCCACATACATGAAGAGACAGAGGTCCAGAGAGCATGCTGTAGAAGAGGGCATGGGTTGGAGGCACAACAACCATATCACGAAACTATTACAACTTTAGGTCAACATGAACATTTTTGCTGGCCATTTCTTTGTGTAGAGATAACTTCCTAATGTCCGAGTCCAGCTTACGAGAAGGTAAGAATAAAACCTTCCTTTTGAATTTAACATTCAACACTGTCCAGTCTTGATGGACATATACAAAGGAATGTACCATCCATTTTTTTTTAAAGCGCCAACTTACCAGGTGATAAAAGCATAATTTAATCCGAAGATGATAAAGGTTGATGCATAATGCCAAGAAAAGCACATGGTGAGAAACATTTTATTCTCAGTATCTGTCAGATTCCATGGAGGACTTCCACTGAGGGGATACAGGACAAAAGCAATCTGCAACTCAAAACAAGTGCACATTAAAATAACCATCTACATTCTCAAAGAAGGCTCATTTCAAAATGTTGGCTAACTAAGATGGCTCCCATTAGCTGAGACGTCACAAACACAACACCAGGTTTTTATGTACTCACTCTCCACTGAGGCATATTTTTGAAGAACAATTTTAAGTGTATTTAATTATCAAATTTCAAAATGTCCCTAGTGGTCACTCTGGCCTTGTGTGCATTTTCCAAAATCCTCGGAGCTCTAGCTACACTGCACAGCCTCACTCTGGTATTTCAAAATTAGACTGCAAAATGTTTTTAAATAAATAAAAACCCATAGATAATGTTATGTTAAGTGGCAAAAGGTTGGGACTTTCTCCTCAGGATCAGGTATAACATAAAGATATTTTGTATTATCACCTCTTTTGAACATTGTATTGGAAATTTTACTTAGGAAAAGTAGGTAAGAAAAATAAAAGACATTCATTTTGGCAAAGAAATTGTAAAATGATCTGTTTACATATAATGTGACCTCAAATATAGAAATTTATAAAGAACCCACCCCCATAATCAAAGTTAATGAAGGAGTTTCACATATTTGAAAACTGAAAATCAGGACGCAACTATCACATATATTTTCACACACAAGCAGTGAAAACTCTACAATATAGTTTTTAAAAATGTACTTAAACGGACACCAAACAAAGTGAAGTACTCAAGAACAAAACTGGAAATACAGTTCCATGGTAGTACAGTTCCATGGTAGTACATCTTACTAGTATTCATAAGGCACTGCTGTAAATACCGGCACCACAACCACACATGCATATCCAAGTACACACATGAATACACACAACCACCCATGCACATCTAAGCACACACACGAATACAGACAAATTGAAGAGCTTTAAAATTTACATGCCAGAAGCTGCACAAAGTTGTGTAAGTGAAAGAAGTCAAGGACCCAAGAAAATAGAAAACCACCTCAAATTATGGACTAGATGTCCCAATATTTTTCACATGGCAAAAACACCCAGGGCAACCTGTAGAACCAAAACAACAGCTATTAATATCCTAATAGGATTTTTCACAGGCATTTTTTAAAGAGTTGATCATAAAATTCATATGGAATTCCATGGTATCTATTATTGCCTTTTAAAAAGCATGGTAAAAGATCATCAAAGCTGTAGGACTCACACCTTTCAACTTTAAGATGTTTTGGAGTTCATCAGAGGTGGTGTACTCACAGCATTATGGAACTGCTAAACATTGCTGAATTGCATAATTTAAAATGGTTCATTCCATGTGTGGTGTTTTGAATGCGAATGGCCCCATAGGCTCATGTATTTGAATGCTTGGTCATTAAGGAAGAGGCATTACTTGACAGGGATTAGGAGAGATGACCTTTTTTTTTTGAGTAGATGTGGCCTTGATGGAGGAAGTGTGTCACTGGGAGTGGGCTTTGGAGTTTCAAATGCTCAAGCCAGGCCCAAAGTCTCTCTCTTCCTGCTGCCTGTGGATCTGGATATAGGACTTTCAAGCTACTTCTCCAGCATCATGTTTGCCTGCATGCCACTGTGCTTCCTGCTATGATGACAATAGACTAAAACACTGAAACTGTAAGCAAGCCCCAACTGAATGCTTTCCTTTATTTGTCATGGTCATGGTGTCTTTTCACAGTAATTGAACACTGACTAAGATGTCATGTTATGTAAATTTTATCCCAATAAGAAATAAGTAATGTTTTATAGACACATACACATATAATGTAGATAGATGGATGGATGGATAGATGATAGATAGATAGGTAGATAGATAGATAGATGAGAGATAGGTAGGTAGGTAGGAAGATAGATAGATAGATAGATAGTAGGACAGGGTCATGTATTGCTTAGTTTGCCTATCCTTAAAATCAATAACAAATGCATCTTGTCTCCCAGAATATAAAGAAACCAGGAGAAAGTTACTAGGAAATATCTTGCTAGTTGTAACTAACATAATATCTTGGGAGAAAAATCATGGCCCCGAACTGGTTGATAAATAAAGGGCATAGGACCGGAATGGGAACAGAAAACTTTGATCTGCCTCTCTACCTTGTCAGGAGCTGATGCAAAGGATGAGTTGATGGGACATGTGTCCACCCACAACTGCCACTATGGAATGCTGGCCTAATGCTGCCAGATATTTCTGTTCTTACTCAAAAAAAAAAAAAAAAAAAAAGCCGGGTGGTGGTGGCACACGCCTTTAATCCCAGCACTCGGGAGGCAGAGCCAGGTGGATCTCTGTGAGTTCGAGGCCAGCCTGGTCTCCAAAGCGAGTTCCAGGAAAGGCGCAAAGCTACACAGAGAAACCCTGTCTCGAAAAACCAAAAAAAAAAAAAAAAAAAAAGCTGAGAAAATAAACACCTTAGTGATGTTTCCTGTATTTCAAGTATTGGCAATTAACTCAAAATGTAATCGTTATAAATTATATGTTGCTCAGGGCCTGTTAGTTTTTAATATGTATATGAGCCTATGGGGGGTATAATTCTTATTCAAACCACCATATTCCACTCTCTGGTCCCCATAGGCTTGTATCCATATCATAATGCAAAACTGCATTCAGTCCAACTTCAAAAGTCCCATAGTCTATCATAGTCTCAACACTGTTTAAAAGTCCAAAGTCTAAAATCTCTTCTTTGACTCATGGAAATCTCTTAAATGTAACTCTCTGTAAAATCAAAATCAAAAAGAAGGTCACATGCTTCCAACATAAATGACACAGAATCCACATTACCATGCTAAAAGGGAGGAAAGGGAGCATAGTGAGGAAATACTGGACCAAAGCAAATCTGAAATCCAGCAGGGCAAACTTCAAATTCTGCATCTCCATGTCTGATGTCAAGGTGCTCTTGAGATCTCCAACTCCTTTCAGCTTTACTGACTGCAATACACTTCCCTTTCTTGGACTGGTACCACCCCTTGTATGTAGCTCTCCTTGGCAGGTATCCCAGAACTCAGGTAACCCAGAGATGCCAGGCATCTCCAACATCTTAGGGTTTCCAAGGTAACACAGGCTTCACAGCTTCATGCAATGGCCTCTTTGGGCCTCCATGCTGGGACACCCCTGACACACACCTGGCCTCCGGGGCTTTCCTTAGCAATGGAGGGAGATTTCACATCCCCTTTCTTCTATCCTTGACTCTAAAGCCAGAACCACATGACCAAAGCTGCCAAGTTCTGCTGCTTGATGGGGCTGGAACTTGGCCTCTTCATTCAATCACATTTGCATCAGCTTTCTGTGGTTGATGGGGAAAGCTTCACTGCTTAAGTTTTCCTTTGATTCTTTTTTTCACAAGTTGGAAGCTTACCTGGGTGAGGTCTTGCCCAGAGGCCACCACTCCCTTTATTCTATTTAGCATCAGTCTTTTCTTTAAACTTTTTATCTTCTTCAAATCTCCTCTACCAACGTCATTACTCTAAAACTTTTCAATTTAGCCTTAGGTAGATTTTTAGGACAAGGGCAAAAAAGCAGCCACATTCTTTGCTAAGAATATCACAAGGATGGTCTTTAAAATACTAACACTCTTCTCTCTGAAACTGCTTGAGCTGGACCTTCACAGTTCAAATCATCCTCAGCATGCTTCTATCTGTCTTCCATGCTCATCCAACTACTTTTCTAGTCCAAAGTCTCATATTCCTCCAAAAAAAAAAAAAAAACAACAACAAAAAAAAAACCCAGCATGGTCAGGGCTGTCACAGCAATACCTCAGTCCCTGGTACCAACTTCTGTTTTAGTCACTGTTTTATTGCTGTGAAGAAACACCACGACCAAGGCAATTCTTACAAAGGAAAGCATTTCACTGGGGCTTTCTTACAGTTTCAGAGGTTAGCCCATTGTCATCATGGCAGGGAACGCGGCAGCAAGCATGGTGCTGGAGCACTAACTGAGAACTTTAGATCCTGATCTGCAGGCAGGTAGGCAGAGAGGGGCATGGGGCCTGGTTTGGGATTTTGAAATCTCAAAGCCCACCCCTCAAGTGACATACATTCCTCCAACAAGGCCGTACCTACTCAAGAAGGCCACGCCTCCTACTTCTTCTAATTCTTTGAAAAAGTTCCACTCCCTGGCAAATAAGCATTCAAATATGTGAGTCCATGGTGGGGAGAGGAGAGCATTCTTAAAGAAATCAGCACCACTGAAGAGAAACCTGTGCTATACTAGGGCAATGGGAGGGATTTTCCAAGGGTAAAACTCCACCTTTCTGAGGCTCCATCTTCTTAAGAACCAAGTTCATTTGAAGGGGGGAAAAAAGCTTAAACTAAAGAGGTTTCCCATTTTCTGAAGGAAGCTGCCCAGGGAAGTGTTTTCCAAAGTCAGTACACAGGAAATGATATAGCTATGGTCCAAGGGGGCACGGTCTACATCTCAAGCTGGCAGCAGAACTTGGTAGTATCATTCACATGGCATTGAGTATGCTCACGTGGAGGATGCAAGAGCCATGGAGAAGATTTAATGAGTCATGGAGCCGTGTTCCATAATTTTAGAGAGCGCCTATAGGCAGGTAATTGCGGCTGGGTTAGAGTCCATGAGAGACTATTACCTGACTGTGTGGCACTGAAGCCTAGGTTGCAATGGAGACCCCAGGATCTTAGATATGCCCGAATCTGAGATTTTCTCAGTCTGTTGAGGAAGGCTGCCTACAGGGAGCAGAGCTGGCTCAAGGTAGAGGCAGAGTGTACTGTAATTTTCATTCTCCAAGGATTTGTGGTTCCTTCAGTTTCTCTTGTAATTAATTTCTAGCATCATCCTCTACAATCTGATATGATACAAGCAGTTTTGATTTTTTTTGTCATCTCTAGTTTTTTAAATTTATGTGTGTGTGTGTGTGTGTGTGTGTGTGTGTGTGTGTGTGTGTGTCCACCGCCTGTATGCAGGCACCCACAAGAGCCAGAACCCCTGGAACTGGGGTTACAGCTGGTAATGAGCTGCCTGATGTGGGTGCTGGGAACTGAACCTAGGTCTTCTACA